TGGAGAGAAGATCACATCAGGGGGGAGAATTTCTATAACGGTGATCCTTAGTGGTCGTTTAGAATGGTACTCCAAGAAACCCTAAACCCTACACCCTGAACCCTAAACCCTTTGCTGGCCAAGGCCCTGCAGTGCACGTCCCAGACGAAAGGATACTTGTGTCCACGACTGCACTGTCGGGAGGGTGGGTTTGGGGTTTAGGGTTATTTAGGGTTTATGGCTTCGGGTTTTAGGGTTTGGGGCTGGTGTTTTCGTGTTTAGGTTGGGTGCACGACGTAGGAAGCATTCCATCTCGCGACATGCGACAACGGCCGCACCTAGGCGAGAACACGATTCTGGTTGAAAAACGGGAGCATATAGTCCCCCGCGCTGCGGGCGCAGTTTGCGCGCCATTCGATCCAGCCCCTTTTACTCTACACATTCGAACCCTTAATGTTGACACGCTTTTCGGGGGTAGAACAAGGACGACATCAGACATAGACATGTCTGTATAACATAGTGGGTGAACGAACGAAAATGCACTCTACATTCTGGAGGTCTAGGTAAACGCAGCATACCTTCAGGTTTCCCTAAATTAGTAAAGCATGAAGCCCTACAAGCCCAATAAACCCTAAACCCCTAAACCTTCAACCCTAAGCATACCCTAACCCCTGAACCCTCTCGATTTCGTAGTTCCTTCGCTTGGGCAAGTTGAGATTCTTCCTTCATGGCACTCACGAAAGAGCTCGAGGCCCTAAACCCTAAACCCTGAACCGTAAACCCTAAGCCTTAACCCTACACCCTAAACCCTAAACCCTAAACCCTAAATCAAGAAGAAGGAACTGCAGTCAGCAGTCTGGGTTCCCATATTTCGCCTGTGGAAGTTTGCAGTGTCAGGGCAACCTGCAGATCTAGAAGCCCTAAACCCGAAACCGTAAACCCTAAACCCTAAACGGTTCAAAGTTTAAGGTTCAGGGTTTCAGATTTAGGGTTCAGGGGTGAGGGCTCAGGGCATCGTGCTAGAGCTTCTACCTCTCGCGTCCTGTTTCGTTGATGGTTTTCACTTTCCCTAACCCCAAACCCTAAACCCTAGACCCTAAACCCTGCACCCTAAACCCTAAACCCTAAACCCTAAACCTGGCGCACCCAGGTGCGGCATCAACGTCACCGGCGTCGTCGACGAGACCTTTGGCTGGCGAGACGCGCTCCTCTGTTGAGAAGAGTCCCTAAGGGTCCATGTACCTAAATATGGACTACTTAGGCCTTAAAGTACTTCCTATATATGGACTTTGGGGCCCAAGTATGTAATAATAAGGTACATGGACCCTGAGGGAGTTGTGGACACCTAACATCAAAGTACTTCCATAACAGGGACATTGGGGCCCAGGTATATAATAGCATTCATAGAAGAGTTGTGGACTTGAGGTGTCTACACCTTGCATCCTCCTATAGGGCCTTCAATTTTGAATCTGAGCCTCTGAACATGCAAAGGCCCTAAACCCAAACCCGACCTTCCTCAACTAAGTTCCCGGACTAGACACCACAGCCTAGGCTCACGGTTTCATGCGGGGCCTAAAACCCACAAACGTTCAGCCTCTGGGCACGTTGGGATGCAGGACTAACAGATAAACTCCAAGCCCTTACGGTCGGGAACCTGGCATCTCCTCAAGGACGGAGGTTCAGGGTTTAGGGTTAGGGTTTAGAGTCTAGGGTGGTTTAGGTGTAGGGTTTAGGCTCTCTTGCTGTTCAGTATCATGCAGAAACTTTGAGAATGAAACCCTAACCTCAGTAGGGCCCATAAGATGTGTGCTTGATGACTGCAGGGGGGAAGGGGTTGACTGTTGCATGATGCTGAGGGCGGAGTTCAGCGACGCCTACGCTGTTGCAAGCCGCCTACAACGTGGCTGGTGGCCAGAAGCAATTCAGCCATTGATGTCTGGCAATACCTCGTTTGGGTCCCTTGCACCCATTGTTTCTGTTCGTTACCCTATAAAACCCCTAAGGATCCATGTACCTTAATAGGGAATACTTGGGGCCTTAAAGTACTTCGTACATAGGGACTTCGGGGCCCAAGTATATAATAACAAGGTCCATTGACCTTTTCTGATCCCTAAACCCTAAACCCTAAACCCGAAACACCCAACGAGGTGGTGGACGCTCCGGCGGCCGCGCGCGAACTTGGCTGCGGTCCAGGGCGGTTGGCAATCATCATGCTGTACTGTGGGCCCTTATTCCCTCTTTAGGGTTTTGGGTTTAGGGTTCAGGGTTTAGGGTTTAGGGTTTTGGGTGTCCCTCTTTAGGGTTTAGGTTCCCTCGTAAGCCCCTGTAAAGCAGAAGCACAGACTTGAGGGCAGCAGCCCTAAATCCGAAAAGGCAATGGTTAGGGGTGGTGGCCTTTGAAAGCTCACAGCCGCGGGGAGAAAACCTAGCACCAACGAAAATTGCTAGACTGCATTGAAAATGTGCCTTCGCATGACATGCCGCCCCCTCACACTTTTGGGTGCACAGGGTACTTACTGCCGCTGCGCGGCGAGACGCCCGAAACCCTAAACCCTAAACCCTAAACCCTAAACCCTAAACCCTAAACCCTAAACCCAAAGCGCCCACAAAAGAAACCCCAAGAGGCGAGCCCTGGTGGATGCCTTTGGAGTTGCTGTCGGCAGATGGCGGGGCTCGGACCCGCTGACTGCGGCCGTACCTTTGGCTGTTTAGGGTTTGGGGTTTAGGGTTTAGGGTTTAGGGTTTAGGGTTTAGGGTTAGGACTTAAGGGCTACCTTAAGAACCCACATTTTTTTTTTTGCAGGTTCTTGTCATCAAGCCCCTCAGAGAATTCCTGGGGCCCTAAACCCTATGAGCCCTAAATAGGGCCTAAACCCTAACCCTCAACCCAACCCTGAATAAGCCCTAAACCCTAAAAAACCCTAAACCCCAAACCCCAACCCTAAACTCCAAACCCCAAACCCCAAACCCCAAACCCCAAACCCCAAACCCCAAACCCCAAACCCCAAACCCTAAACCCTAAACCCTAAACCCCAAACCCTAAACCCTAAGAGATCACAAGGCAGCGGCCAACTCTGGAGCTTCTCGCACTGCTGCAGCCAAGGCTGCTCTGTGGTGCTTTACTGTAACCTTAGATCCTTAGCCTTTTAGGGTTTAGGGTTTGGGGTTTAGGGTTTAGGGTTTAGGGTTTGGGGTTTAGGGTTTAGGGTTTAGGGTTCAGGGTAATTATAACTACTCTCCTATGTGCAGCCAAGGCTGGATGCTGTCGATCCGTGACCACAGCAACCAGGGGGAGCTCCCCGAGTGCTGGCCGCCCTCGCACTTTTAACTGAGCTAGGGTTTATAGGGTTTAGGGTTTAGGGTTTAGGGTTTAGGGTTTAGGGTTTAAGCCCATGGCCAATTCTTGTGACGAAAACCGTAAACCCGAAACCCTAAACCCTGTTGAAGGCCAAGAGGGTTCCCTCCGTGGAGTTTCTTGAGATGCTTGGGGTTGGGGATTGAAACTGAGCTGTTGGCATGCTCCGCCGAAGTGGCGCGACTTGGGTTTACTGGTTTGCAAGATGTTGGTCTCTAGGGTTTAGGGTGTAGAGTTCAGGGTTCAGGGTTCAGGGTCTAGTTAGGGTTAGGGCTCAGAACATCGGGTTTAGTAATGCGGGCTTCGGGTTCCGAGATAAGCAGTGGATGTCCCTAAACCCCATAAGCCGTGCTTTGTTGAGCAAGCTTGATTGGGATCAGGGTCGGTTTAGGGTTTAGGGTACCTAAGCCCTGAACCGTAAACACTCGGAGGGAGACGCTGTGGACGCCTATTGTCATCGAAGCACTACTACTCAACACCAAAGCTCGAGGTCTAGAGGTTTAGGGTGTAAGGGCTTAGGGCGAAAACCTGAAGCCTAAATCATCCTTTCCATCAGGGGCCATGTACCTCATTATTGTATACTTGGGCCCCAAAGTCCCTATGTAGGAAGTACAGTATCCCCTATTCAGGTCAATTGGCTGTACATCCTAGACCCAAGAAGATCACAAGGGCTTGACCCATCCTAAACCCACGGAGCTCAAGGGCTTGACCTCTGGGTTCGGCATGTGTGGCAGGAACCAGTTCCCGAGCTTCAGCGCGCTGCTGAAGATGAACCTCTCGACCTGCCTGAGCCGGAACACGACAGAGGGGCGATGTTGAAAAAAAGGGGGATCCCGCCCACCCACGACACCCCAGGCGCATCGCGGCGCATCGGTCTGAGGAAGGGGCTCTTTAAAGTTGGTCTTCAGGGGAAGGGGGCGGGGGGGTATTGCGGGCTTGTATGAGATGGGTGACGGGGTGTAGGCTCCGTGTTGCATCACTGCTTCCGATAGCACCAAGCCCTGCAAGGACCCTGTTGTGCTTTGGGATATTTTTGTAATTTCCCTTCTTTCCTCTTTCGGGGAACCTTTTCATGAATGATGTTCAAAGGGTTTTCAGCACAACTAAGCTACCTGGCGATTCATTTCTGCCGGCTTTTTTCTCCACATTTTGGCTTCGCCTGCAGGTGCCATCGATCCGGAGAAGGCCGGGCAAACTACAGTGCTGGGTAGAGGAGTTTAGGCCTACAACCCTAAGGGTCCATGTACCGAAATAGGGATACTTGGGCCTTAGAGTACTTCCTATATAGGGACTTTGGGGCCCAACTTTGTAATAATGAGGTACATGGACCCTTAGGGTACTATAGTGGCCTGAATAATTCGGGTTTGGGGGGTCATTGCAGTATAAGTATGAAGCGACCATAAGGGCGTACTATCAGTAATTATTCCGCCACCTACATTAGGCTTATGGTGTTTGCGTCTGCATGGCTTTAGCCCCTAGCTGCTCTGGCTGATTAACGTGCTTTCCGAGCAAGAAGTCTAATTGCCAGGGACGCCTTGAATTGAATCTTGGTTGCATGTTGCGGGCACAGGGATTCGAACAAAATAGTGTTCGGTGACGTACAGGGTAGCACTTTGAGCAGCCAGAGCATCTCGCATCTGGAGGGCAAGTACCACTTTGTGCATTCATGGCGTCCGCTGATCTTCATGCTGGCTTGGTGGATGCTCCCGAGCCTCATGGGATCGGGAGCTGCGCGGAGCTTTGTGAGCCTATGGCAGAGGTCACCAAGGACGGCACCATCTACAGGGTTTGGGGTAAGCTCTTATCGCGCCTTATGTGCTCCAAAAGCAGCCGTGGCAGGAATCAAACGTGTGGTGCCGTACATCGGAGGGTCCATGTAATTACTCGGTTTGTCCCTATGTCGGAGCTTATCGAGTGCTTTTCGGGATATGTAAATGACAAGAGCTATGCATACAATATATATTTATAGATACACATACATACATACATACATACATACATACATACATACATACATACGTACATACATACATACACACATACATACATACATGTACATGTTCAGAGTTGTTGAACTTGTACCATGTTGGTTATGTCAGTTATGAAGATTTCCTGGCAACCCCCAAGGCCAAACGCTATTTGCCAGGCTGAGCTGCGTTGTGCCAGGGCGCCGCGCCCCAAGCTCACGATTCTGAGCTGACGGCTTCTGCATCACCCGGGTGTAGGGCTTTTCGAGCTTAGGGTGCTTAGAATTTTGGGTTTTTAGGGTTCATTTTTGGGCTTTTCGAGCTTCGGGTGCTAAGAATTTTGTTTTAGGCTTTATGGGATTTCGGGTGGGGGGGGCGGGGGTGGGGAGTTCAGGTAGGGCATTTCTAAGGATTCGGCGGAGCTTAGTACAGGTTTGCCGGACTTCGGATTGCAGAGTTCTGGGTTTCGGTTGCATAAGCCCCAAGCAATACGATGCAGGTTCTAGGAAGCAGAGCGCACAGGGACATTAACATCAGGTTCCGCTCAAACCTATAGCCTGGATGAGAAGCAAGGTTTTGGGTCCACAAACCAGAAAACTGAGTTTTGGGGGGGGTTTAGGGTTTAGGGTTTGGGGTTTGGGGTTTAGGGTTTAGGGTTTAGAGTTTAGGGCGTAGCCTCAAAAGGCATAGGGCTTCTCAGACCGAAGACCTCGCAGCCGGCCGCAGGCACCAGCGCGCACTGGAGCGATCCGCGAACGCGTGCGCCGTGGAACACCAACATGTATAGGCTTGGGTTCAGGGTTTTTGGTTTAGGGTTTAGGGTTTAGGGTTTTTTGTTTTTTTTTGGGGGGGGGGGGTTGAAGGTCTAGGGTTTAGGGTTTAGGTTTGTTTGGGGTTTAGGGTTTAGGGCTTAAGGGCTTCAGGATTTGAGGGTTTTGCTTCAGTGCAGATCTCCCAATGCCCAGTGCATCTAAAATGCTAGTCTCTTTATTCTTCGGGGGGGGGGGGAGGGGATTCAAGATTTCGGGTTCAGATCTGTTCAAGCTGGGTCAAGGTCTTTATAGAAGCGGTTCCGCCTTCCGGGAGCTTGCAACATATGGCCAGTTCCTTAATATGTTATGGTCCCTATTTTGAGTGGCCTCAATACAAGGGCCCGCAGTTAGATGGGTACCGCAAAGTTTGCCCCAAAGCGGTCCTTACTTCGGAGGTATTTATAAGGGACCCTGTGATCGAAGACGCTCTTGGCGTGGGCATGGGGGGGGGGGGGTGCGAACGTTGAAGTGGTTTTCTTCATGCCTCTTCAAGAGCATGAAGCTTAGTCTTGAGGTACCAGCACCTGTACATGCTGGTTGAGAGAGCATTGGCTGTTGGCACGCAGAAGGCCAGGAGAGGGACGTCCCAAAATCTAGAGGCCTGCCCCACCCTAAGCCCGCGAAGGCCCTGTCCCCTACACCCCTGAGCCCAAAATGGTCCTGACCTAAACTGTTACGTATGCCTAAGCCCCGGAACCTAAACCGTGCCTCAGTCCGAAACTCCGAGCTTTCTGAGCCTAGACCCACAGCCCAAAATCGTCGTGGAGTCCTCCCTTAACGGGAGGACTCAGGGTTTTGGGTTTCGGCTTGAACGGTGAGGGGTTCAGGGGATCCAGGAGTTTAGGGTTTAGGGTTTAGGGTTTAGGGCATAGTTCATCCGCCGAGACGGAGCATTTCGTGATCCATTCGGACCTTGGCACGCCGGCCACAACCGCCAACACGGTCAGGGCCCCGGCCAGGCATTGCAGGCGAGTTGTTGCTTTTGGGCGGCCATGGGCCAAAAATTGGTGAAGAAGGGTTGAAAAGGATGGTCTAGGTTATGGAGGGTTGGGTTTAGGGTTTTAAAAATTTTAGGTTTAGGGTTATTTTTGGGGTTGTAAAGGATTTCGTACGAAAAGGGGTTCAGGGTTTTGGGCTTTGACTCTGGACTACAAACCTAGCAGCTTCGGAGCGTTTCCATGCAGTTGCCTGGAAACCTTCAATCGTGCTAAACCCTCACCCCCTAAACCCTGAACCCGACAAGCCCCAGGATGGAAGGTTAAGGAGCCCTCTCGATCCCACACCCGGGGAACCCTAAACCCTAAACCCTAAACCCGGGGATCCCACACCCGGAGTCCACAGGCCGGGGTCGCTAAGGATCCATTTAGGGCATATACTTGGGCCTTAAAGGGGTTCCTATGTCGTAGCTTTAGGGGCCAAGTATATGCTACATAAGTACATTGATCCTTGGACGGTTTCTTTTTCGGCGTGTAGGGCTCATACTGGCTCAGGGCTTATGTACAATTTCCGCTAAACCCTAAACCCTACACCCTAAACCCGAAACCCTAAACCCTGCAATTCTGACTCATTTGGTCCAAGCCCGCTCCAGCTGTGCTCCGAGGCGGCATCGACCGCGATCTCCTTGGCTACGACACCAGCCGGGAGCCCTGAGCCCCTACAGCCTAGGTTTAGGATTTAGGGTTTAGGGTTTAGGGTTTAGGGTTTGGGGTTTAGGGTTTAGGGTTTAGGGTTTAGCTTAAACCATGTTCCAACTTTCTAGGGTTTACTGTGCGCCTTAGGACTGTGCTTAACTAAACCCTTTTTGAACCCTACAATGCCTATGCCTAACCCTTAAAGTCCCTAAACCCTAACCCCTAACCCCTAAACCCTAAACCCTAAACCCTAAACCCTAAACCCTAAACCCTAAACCCTAAACCCTAAACCCTAAACCCTAAACCCTAAACCCTAACCCTTAAGTCCATACTTTTGGATATAGACCTACCAGGCTCCGAGGCTTGATTGGCTGTAGCAAAGGAGGCCTAAGGGGCAGCCTAGGGCTTAGGGTTTAGGGTTTAGGGTTTAGGGTTTAGGGTTTAGGGTTTAGGTTTAGGGTTTAGGGTTTAGGGTTTAGGGTTTAGGGTTTAGGGTTTAGGGTTTAGGGTTTAGGGTTTAGGGGAGTTCTCTAAGTGGTGGTCCTTTTTATGTGTACCCGGACGCCTTGTGAGAAGGAACCAACCGGCCCACTATATAAACCCTCAAGCACCTTAACCCCAAACCACCTTAAACCCCAAACCACCTTAAACCCAAACTAAACTTCCGCCAAACCCCAAACCACCTTAAACCCCAAACCACCTTAAGCCCCAAACCACCTTAAGCCCCTAGCTAAACTTCCGCCAAACCCCCAGGAATCACTTTTTTTCAGGCCCCAAAGACCGATGACGGCACCGGCGACTTTGACCAGAAGGACCTCTACAGGCCGACGGCGCTCTCACGCGGTTTGGGATGATGGTTACTTATACGTAGCCAGGAGTTGAACTTTTAACTTTTTGGGTTTGGTTATTTAGTAGGAGTAGTTTTTGAAGAAATCTTAACCTTTCTTTTCCCCTGGGTTATTTGGAGAAGTAAGGTCGAACCAGGGGACTGGAGACTCAGCTTTTTTGCTGCTGGGGTGGAAGATTAGGGATGATTGTTCTTTGGGGTGATAGAAAGGCTAAAGTTGACTCTTGCCTGGGCTTTCGCACAGGGTTCAGGGCTTAGGGAAACCCAACCATCTCCCCTGAATCCCTACATATCCACAAGCCTGAGCCCCGTAATTACATGTCAATGCAGGAGAGCCCAAACTAAGCCTGACATCAACCCGACACCCGTATACACCCTATACTTACCCTTGAAACCCTAACCCTAAGGGTCCATGTACCTAGATGTGGCATACTTGGGCCTTAAAGTACGTCCTTTTTGGGGACTTTGGGGCCCAAGTATATAATAACGAGGTACATGGACCCTTGGGGCAAACCCGAAACCCCCGACTGATTGAAGTTTCCCCACCCATGAGGCGTCTGCGCGCCCTGTCACTGGCGCTTTCTGGGGAGAGCGAGGCCTAATCCAAAGAACCCAAACCCCACATTCAGTTTAGGGTTTAAGCTTCAGGGTCTACACATACAGAAGATTGAGCCCAAGGCGCCCTACGTACCTTACAAGCATGCCTGGGAGAGGCACAGAACACCCCCATTTTTATAATCTCTTGGCGCCTGTGATCCTGCAAAAAAACGTTTTCTATAACCCTACCACGCGCACTCTTGTTCCTATGCTCCCTTCGTGGCTTGAGAGCGCCGCGAGCCCAGCATGTCTTGGCAGTCCTTGTACTTGTTTAACGACCGAGGGTATCCGAGCTTTGACCGTAAGTTTGTAACCGTAAACCCTAAACCCTAAGCCCTAGAACCCACTTTAGACCTCAACCTGACGCGCGAGCCTGAACCCTACAGCACGCAAAACCCTAAAGCCCTAACACCCAAATAGTACCGAAGAGCCCTTTGTGGTCAGTTCTCTAAAGGTTGCCCGTTTTAAATTAAAGTTCCGGCTCAGGTGCCCAAAAAGGGACCTTGCATGAGAACTCCCATATAGAACCTCAGAGACAGCTCCTTGCCTGCGCGGGAATGCTGTGACAGGCGTCGAGGGCGGACTTGCAAGGCACAGACAGGAGAAAGAGAGGGGCGAAGGAGAGAGACAGAGCCCTAGACCCTAAACCCTAAACCCTGCACCCTAAACCCTCAACCCTAAACCCTGTCGGTTTTGGACTTTGGGACTCATAGCGCAAGTTAAATGCCCCTAGCATCCCCAAACCAGTCCTAAATCCTACACCCCGCCCAAAGGCTCGCGGGTTGTTTGGGCTTTTGGCCTTCAGTCCCGCCATGCGCATGTCGATAATACCCTGATGGGTTTTAGGGGATCGATGTTTTCGGAGGGTTTTCAGGGCTTGTGGGTTTTTTTCGTCAATTGCACTGCGGGGGGGGGGGGGGGGGGGGGGGGGGCTGTGCGTGCATTTTGAGATTCGGGCTCAGGTTTTTGAGTTGGTCGTTGTCCAGCGACGTCTTTGTTATTCTTCGGTTTCAGGGTTTAATGGAATTCTCAGAGTTCCTGGAGTTTAAATGGAGGCAGTACAGCTTTTACATTTTTACAGGGCTGGTCGGCCTTACATTGGTTGTCAGGCTTTCGGGTTTTGCGGTTGACCACATGACATGTAGCCCCTTGTGAGCCTCGCAAACCCTAACCCCATGCCCGAGATCCTGGTTGCAAGCTATACCTTAAGAACCCAAAACCAACTTTTTTGTAGGCTCTTCTTAAAAAACCCCTTATAGGATTCTTAGGTAACCTACAAAGAAGTAGGTTTTGGGTTCTTAAGGCAGTCCGAAACCTTGCGTACCCTCACCATGGCTGCTTCCCGCTAGGCATCCAGGAAGCTTCGGCAGCACCTGCCGGTGAGGAGCGCTGCCTGCAATTTAGCTTAGTAGCTGAATGAGTACACTTTACACTTTTTTGGGATACTATAATCCCCCATAGACCCTATAGAACTGAAACTGTACACTTTTTGGGGGCTTATGAACTCAGCAACTCAGTTAGCGGGTTTAGTGCATAAACTGAGTTTCCCCTCATCCAAGCAGTCCCTCCGCCTATGAGGTCCTCATAAGACACAAGACCCCCAATGTCTGGGAGAATCCTGTGTATTTGTTTCTTACTGTTTTGCTTACCATGGCTTATCTTCCAGGCTTTTGTGGCATTGCAGGGACTCTTGCCGCCTTGTGAAATGATGCACGCAGGGTAGTTCGGGGTTCTGAGTTTCGAGTTCAGAGTGTGTGGAGTTTCGGTTGCATGCTCGCTGTCCTTCGGGCCTTGTGCCCCAAGGCCTAGGTCACGCTGGCGTCTACTGCGCAATAGCCCTTAATGGAGGTTCTTGAGTGCATGATTGCAAGCGTGCTTTTCTTGTATGCCTTTACCTTAAGAACCCAAAACCTAGTTTTTTGTAGGCTCTTCCTATGAAGCCCCTCATAATGTGGGATTCTTAGGTAACCTACAAACAAGCAGGTTTTAAGGTATTCTTGAGTTCACCAAGCCCAACATCCCAGACGATGGGCCCTCTGTGGCTGAATTGAAGCCATCTTGGCCCTTGGTCTTGGACCCGAGGATGTAGTAGGATCGTGGGTATAACGACCGTATGAGTTTACGGTTTAGGGTTAGAGTTTAGGGTTTAGGGTTTCTGAAATCTTCAACCGCCCTAAACCCTGGAGCCTGAAATTCTCAGCCACGCCTATGCACCGCTATGTCGACAGGACGACTCAACCACGTGCCTGTCCGTGGATGGTAGGCAGCCCTACTGACTGCTGTTGGCATAGGGTGTAGGACTACGACGACTTCGGCGACCCAAATCCACAAGGTGTAAACCCTTCATATGAAGCCCTATTAAACCTGATTAAACCCTATCAAGCCCTATGAGGCCCTATGACACCCTAATGGTTTCAGGCTTGAGTATTCAAGCATGGCGTAGGCAAAGAACAGGTCCTGATCCCGGATCATGGACAAGGAATCATGCTGCCAACTTGACAGCTTTGAGCACATTATTGCATTCATTTCAGGTCTACGAATCAATATACGAACAATTGCAGCTCAGGTTCTAGAATTCTTATATAGCTACAGCGGAGGCCATCTAGAGAAATGATCACGGAGCCAGGCTGCTCCCACACCTCTCATTCTGAACCCAAAAACCCTAAACCCTAAAACCCTAAACCCTAAACCCTAAACCCTAAACCCTAAACCCTAAACCCTAAACCCTAAACCCTAAACCCTAAACCCTAAACCCTAAACCCTAAACCTAAACCCAAGCTTGCAGGTCGACAGGTGGCGAGGATGCCACTGCTTGAGGGAACGGGACTGAAGGCCAGCCGGGTTCGGGGTTTAGGGTTTAGGGTTTAGGGTTTGGGGTTTAGGGTTAATGGTTAATGGTTTAGGGTTTAGGGCTTAGGTTTTATGGTTACTTAGCTTAAGGGTTTAGGGTTTCGTGGGTGTAGGTAAGACTTGTGCCTCACTGTAATTACCACGTAGCTCCTTCAGGGTCTAAGTGTCTGCCATGCTCAAGAAAAGACATCGGCCAGAATCTGCAGCCGAGCAAGTAGTTGAGGAAGAGTCCGAGAGAAGTTTTGGTAGGAATGTGGGAAAGCAACTTTGGCTGCATCCAAGCTTCTCCCAGCACCACTCTCACCTAAACCTAAAGCAGACGCTTCTGTATCTCTGATGCCCAGACCCAAATAACAAAAAACAAACAGGAAGCTCAAAACCCTCAACATCCCAAAGTCCCGGAAATCTCAGCCGGAAACCCACCTGCAGCTCCTTGCTTGAGCTTCCCGAAACACACAAGGCCGTACTCGAACCCGGCAATTGGCAAAACTATGTAAAAGGGGTATAAGGAGGGACCCCTATTCCCCCATTTAATAACCCCGATAATATATACCGTATAGAGTCCCGAGAAACCCCTAGGGTCCTATAGTCCCTGGCACTATCCAGGCCCCTGCGGCGTTGGTCTGAGTGCACCGACCAGGGAGCCCAAACGTGCACGAGCGTTCGCGGCGCACATTCTCGGGCATGGCTCGGGGGGCGTCGTGTAGAAGACTGCCTTACGAACCCAAAGCCTATTTTGTTGTAGGTTTCCTAATGATCCTATTAGGGGTTTTAGAAGAAGAACCTACAAAAAAGTAGGTTTTGAGTTCGAAAGGTGAAGTGCTGCAGGACCCAGCAGAAGCCCGCTATTGCAGTTCATACTCTGTCTCTTCTTGCGGGAGAAGTCTGGGATAGTGCTCTAGGGTTTGTAGGGGGGATTCGGGTTGGATACTTCCCCAGCCTAGAGTAAGTGCACAGATACCCATTCTATTCCCTGATTTACTCGTATGTCTGTTGCAGGGTAGGGGTACCCAAGGTCTCGGGCTTACAGGAAACCCCAACAGCCCCCAAAACCCTAAACTCTTCTAGGGCTTTAGGAATCTTAACCCTAGACCCTAAACCCTAAACCCTAAACCCTACATGTTAAGGAACCCGAAGCCCTATAACTCTCAACTCTGGGGTCTTCAGAATCAATGACCCATGCTCCGCCAAGTGTCTGGGACTGTGCCCCGCGATCTTCCCACGTGTACAGTAATTCGACGCCCTGTGTGGTGGGACGCAGAGGCATGCTGCACGCCCCTTAAGGTTAGGGTTTTAAGGCTCATCGGGCTTTATTGGGTTTCGGGGATTATCGGGAGTAGAGGGTTTAGAGTTGTTTTTTTGGGCTGTAGGTTCAGGATATGAAGGGTGGATATAGGGGATGTTTACATGAACTGTGAGCAGTAAACCCAGCAAATCATCACCCTTAATGCCAAGTCCAAACCACAAAGCCTTTTGACCCTAAACCCTAGCAAGCCACAAAAGAACATATGTACCCAGTAGCGCATAAATTGTCAAACCCGTACGCCACCCTTCTAACAACAAATCTTGCAGGGACGCCTGTAGAATCAGATCATGGTACGGAAATCTTCACAATTAACTATTCATCCTTATAGTATGAAGCCTAGTGGTACAATGCAATGGTACAAGCCGCAGAAAGTCAGGTTCACGTCTTGGCTGTTCACTATAGTCTTTGGGGTTCAGGGGGCCCGCGAGACGTGAGACTCGTGAGACCCTCGCGGATTCGCACCTCCTTTGGAAAGAGAGGAGCTTCGGGGTTTAGCGTTGGGATGTTCCCCGTATACTTACAGTCCTTCATAGGGATTATAGTACCCCCTGTTATATTCCCTATTAAGCGCTGTTAGTATAAGGGCGAACATCCCAAGTTTAGGCCTTTATGGGCGTTGAGGGTTCAGGCTTGACGGGATTAGCGTGTAGTCGCCCACCGGGTGGTCAGGTTAGGCTGCCAATTTTCAAACACAGCAAAATCCTGAAGCCCTGAAGGCCAAACCCCAATTGAGCCCTGCAGACCCTGAGAGCCCGCAAGCCCTGCCCGCTCTAGTTAGCCCTAAAGTTCTCTAAAACCTTACAAGCCCTAATCCCTGAGCCCTGAACCCTAAACCCGAAACCCTAAACC